AAGGAAATTCGAAAATGGAACTCTGGGAATATTTTACTTTTCAATTTGCGAGACTGTTGATAGTTTTTTCAGTATGACGTCCTTTCTAAAATTGAGTGTCGCTATCAAAATGAATTTAAGTGGTGAACATTTTCGTTTAATGATTTTTTATGATTTCGTTGTGGCTTAAGTCAACAAGAGAGTTGCCAGAGACTTCAATATGCATTTGGTGATAAAGCACCATGTCGTAGCTCTGTGTATTCGTGGTTTAGAGAATTTAAACGTAGACGTGATCATCTCCATGACGTGAAGGTGGTGACAAGGTACGTGCGGTTACTTACTCTAATATTGACACCGTACGACAACTTATTGAAGCTGACAAAAAATTACTTGCCAGCAAAATCGTGCTTTGTTGGGCATTGGAATAAGCCAAGTGCAAAACATTTTACATGTGCACCTGAAGGTTCGGAAGCTTAGCACTCGATGGATACCGCATGACTTAACGGAGGACCAGAAACGACTACGTGTCCAGTGGTGCTATAAAATGATAAAAAAGTTTAACGGAGGATAGTCATTGGCTGTCTATATCGTAACAGGTTTCGAAAGCTGAGTGTACTACTTTGAACGCAAAGAATATAAGGCAGTCAGCAGAGTTGGTCTTTCCTTTTGAAGATTTGCCGACAAAAGTTAAGAAAAGTCGAATCATTGGTAGAAAATGGTTGCTTCTTTTTTCGGCAAATCAGGACATTATACTATAGTGTCGCTTGAAGATCAAAGGACAGTTACTGCATATTGATACGTCAACACTTGCTTGCCCAGAATCTTAGAAAAAGTTCGCGAAAAGCGTCCTCGAAGCAATGTCCTCGTTCACCACGATAATGCATCCTCACATTCCGCTAACGTAACAGAAGCCTATTTGAAGGCTTCAAATGTGGAACTGTTGACAAATCCGCCTTACAGTGGACTTCGTACCCTGCGACTTCTTTTTGTTCCCAAAATTTAAAGAAAAACTTAGAGTCACACGTTTTATCAGCCCTGAATCGGCGATGAATGCGTTCCATGAAGCCATTGAAAAGGGTAAGGAAAACTGGTCCAACTGCTTTGAACAGCCGATTCAGCGAATGCAAAAATGCATTAATTGCGAGGGAATATACTTAGAAAAACAATAAATGTATCGTAAGTCTTATTTATCAGAATTCAGAAATTTTCAATATGCCCTAAGTAATAATTGGAAAAAAACTACAGGGCGACCTAGTCCACTAAGGAAATCCTAAAATTCTCTTAATAAAATGTAAAGAAATTGCATTTTGCGTACTTTGTAAGCAGGTGCGCACAGACGGAAATGTAAAATTATGTAAAATAATAATAAAGTTCGATTTTTACGAATAACTTGACTGCACGGATGGCGTAGTGGTTTAAGCGGTCACCTCGCCGCTTCCTACTACGCCGAGTGTTGTGGGTTCAAACCCCACATGGGACGACACTTTGTGTGATCCACAAATTGTTGTTCTGAGTCTGGGTGTTCTTTGTGTCCGTTTCATGTATGTTTGTAAAGTCCCCCGAGACACAGGAATGATGTATTCCTAATGCGGGAGTTGTCTTTTAAAAAAAAAAAAAAAAAAAACAAAAAAAAAAAAACTTCGAACAGAACATTATGTCAATAATCATTATGAGAACTGTACTAAAAACTCTTAAGCTTGGTTTGTTAAGTAGATTGTAAATCTCGATTCAATTTGAACCACATTCAATTAATTGTATTCAATAATTGCATTGGTTTTTATACATATTTATAAACATTAATTTATTAGATTTACCTAAGTATGTACTTAATCCTTTAAAAAAGCCCGTCATATAATAAAAAAAAACACCCAAATCTTAACGCATATACGAGTATCAAAGTACTTAATCTAAACGTCTACGTTAGAACACTAAAATCAACATAAACGTCGTATTGCCTTTATGTAAATTTATGTTAAGCAACTTGACAGACAATAATAATACACTGTACTAATATACTGTTAAAATATGTCTTCTAGAACCAAAACAAGTTCATCAATGTCAGTCCAGTGGTTTATGTGGAGCTTACTGCTTTAGGTGTGTATGTCGTACACACCTATAGAAGTATTATACACGCATTATACAAGCATGTACATATATAAAGATAGCTGAAATATCAATTGAACTAATTAACTTGAAGATACATTTAGAACTCATCGTAATAAAGATTTAAATAGTGACACATTTGTTTATATGTGTCACACCATTTTGGAGCTAAATAAGGCGTTGTATACCGAATTGGCGTGATTGAAACAAATTGTTACTGCACATTCCTGGACCGAGGATTATTTACCGTGTACAATTGTAGATAAAATATCAAAAATGATAAAAAGACAGTAGGTTCATTATTAGTTTTTCTTCTTGTTTTTGTGAACAAACTTCTAGAAATGAAGAAGTTTTCTTTATTTATTCTTGATTAAATTGCAAAAACATTTATCTTTAGGAACCTGTCCTGTAGATGATTCCATTATAGTACTTAAAGGAGTTAACCGCGTAGTAATTTCACCCTACAAACACCTGTAATTGGAGCTAAAGACACACATACAGAGAACACAAAAGTGAAAATACTGTCACTTACCTACTCCTGTTTTGTATTAAAGACATTAGAAATAGGTGTATTATTTATTTATTAATCGGGTAACTCCAGGTTATCGGAAATATTCTATGACATCTACTCCACCTCTTCTATATTGTTATATGGTATAATAAGAATAGATAAACTATCAATTGTATTATTTCTCTCTAAATAAGATAATAGAACATTTTTATCGTTTAACTACGTAAGTGAATTCAGATACGCCAGTAAATATTACAATACCCGATCACGTTCTGATTTGTCGTTACCTAAGATTGATGCAACCGGTGCAACAATCGTGTGTTACAGTTTATTGCAGTGGAAACTGATGGTAGGGATGACTGCTGATACATATGTATACTGGACGGACACTTTATAAGAAATATCTTGTCAAAAGTGTTGGGTTACTTGGATGTCTTGCTCCAACTCTAATATCGTTTTCAGAAATCAATTTGAATTGAATTGCTAAAGGTGGCCAACCAAGAACCAATGTTCATTTTTATTAATTAGTCGTGAAATAAAGGTATCCCTTGAAAAAAGTAGAAGTTTAACTTAAATTCAGTGTATGTTTTTCAATTAAGTGTTTGCACACAACCCACCGTTTTGACATTTCATAGAGTAAACTGTAATGTCGAGCACCCTTCTAAGTTCACTCGTACTAACAACTTATTTTATTTTTATCAATTAATTTATTGTCCGTGTGTTGATGGATTAAGAACAAGGAGTGTCACCACCCCTATTCTTCCCGTGGGTGTCGTAAGAGCCGACTAAGGGAACAAACTAGCAGGACAACAACACTTCAAAGAGAAAGGAAACTTGTGACAAACCCTATACCAACCCGTCTGGCCAGCGTAGTATAGTAGGCCAAAACCTGCTTTCTAAGTAGAGGCCATGTCCAGCACTGGCCCAGTAAAGGCTGTTGATGTGATGATGATAAATTAATTTTATAAATGGATAAAAATGTTTCCTTATCTTAGGATTCTTGTCTTTCTAACTTTGGTTTGCTAACATTAGCTCAGCTCAAAGATGGTATCCAGTATCGATACAAATGGCAATCGTGAGTATCATACTGCCTGATTTGGACTGACAAGTGACACGGGAAGTATAAATATATATAGGCGTTGCTCTGCACTTGGTGCCTAGAATGGTAACTAGAAGAGGATAATACATGTATGATTCATACTGTCTACGACACAGCTAGGATTTTGTTGTCTACCGTCTGATTTCTATATATATTTAAATATTTATGTAAATTTTTCTGATTTCTGTATGTATTATTATGTATATTTTTAAAATATTTATAGATATGAATTGCCCTATTCCAATTATTTTAGATAATATCTTTAATTCAAATTTCTACGTTTTAATAGTCTAGTTAATCTTTTACTGGGTTGCTTGAAGTTGCTTTTTGTGGGTTGAATGAAGAGAGGAAGCTCTCCTTTTAAAAATTTTCTTTATACTTATCAATTTTATTTTTATTTATTTTCATTGAATATCAAAACATTTCAGATACCTGAGGGCATTTTAAAAATACCTTTGATATACTAAATCATAACCTCTGTTTAAATTATTACGATACAATTGAGGTTCATGCTCACCACTTTTTCTAGCTTGTCTAATCCAGTAAACGAACAGTTTGCCGAATAAATATATAAAAATTGTATACATTTTTACATAGCTTGTTAAATAAAATAAAATTATGTTACCATCCTAATCATTTGAACTCGTTAAAAATTGGAATTTCAGTCTTCGTTATTGAGTGCTTTTCAAAACACGCCTTATTTTTGCCTGTTTTAAAATATAAATAAAAATTATTAAAACATTTGTACTTCCGCTCCCGTTCCTGCGCTATTTAAAAATATTTCCATATTTGCTCAAAAATATACGAAGTCTTCATTCATCATACACGACCTTATCCATGGCCATCAATTTACGGTAAATTTGACGACATTATTGTGCCTTTGCGAGGTAAATTCTGATAAGATAGATAACATAGTAGGTATTGCAAACTCATTGGGCGCGACAGGAGCCTTGCCCCTCCAACTTTGACAAGTGATGAGGCTAGTAAGCCGCGAGCTCTGTGTAGGAGCAGACGTATCGCGCGCTCACAATATTCACGACCACTAACTAAACAGGATACATCGCATTCGGAATAGTGATGAGGGTTAATAACATTGACACTATATCAAAAAAGAAAAGCCGAAATAGTGTTGCTTATTAACTTATAAATTGTAGTGACCTTGCAAAAAAATAAAACATCAGTGAGTTTTACATGTTTATAAATCGATTGACTTCGATGTATATTGTTTAATTGTTATAGACATGGGATTTGTGAAATCGATTCTATATAGAAATTAATCATCAGTGTGGGAAGTGCAAAATCACAAAAATGACTATGTTAGCTGTGAAGAACTTTTTCATGCCGGAGAAAAGAGTGGATTCCCCAAGGTTCTCGAGAATGCCAGAGGCTTTAATGAGGTCTATAAGACGACGCTCTTTGAGAGTAAAGAGGACAAAGTCACTGGTACTTGTGAATGAAAAGAGGAAATCCGGTGAGTGGTAGCGTATGGTTCTTTTTATATTATTTGTTTTTAGTTAAAAAAAAAAATCTTTTAATATATAATATGCTGTTTAATTTATCAATGGTAATTTTGTTGTATTGAGAGCCACTTTCTACTTTCAAGTTGGTTAAAAATAAATATTTGTCGTTATCCAAGCTCTAGGCAGTCGTTAAGATAATAACAGAGATCTTTTTACTTAAATTACTTCTAATGATATATAATAGATTTATATCGCAAATAGTTATTCGTTAAGCATCAAGTGCACATTGAAATAATAGAATAACATCAAAAGTAATAGTTTATTTTTCGTTTTAAAATTTTAGGATTGAATAATACAACGAATATGTTAACAGTACCATTATACGTAATTTCGTAATTGAACCATTAATAATTATTGGCAATTGAAAAAACTCATATAATACGATTACTTGTTTGCAATTTTTTATTATAATCTTTAACGAAGATCGAATATGTAATATTATTTTTAAAAAAGTTTAAGACAACGCGTTTTATTTGAAATTAAAAATGTATGCAACTAATTACCTTGTAGGTAAATCTAACGGATCTTGTACACGAATTTTACTAAAATATATTATAAATAAATTCATTCATCATCATAAATAAACTCATTCACAAGTTTTTCACATGAATTTAGTTACACTTGTATGTATAAAAGCGAAATTTCATCATTATAATAATGATACTGACACTAAATAAACTGTAGCAGTGAAAAGGCAAAATATAATAAAAAAAACAATACTTATTTCGTGACGACATGTACGAAAATCGCTGAATCGAGAGAATTTCAAATGAAAATAATTCCAATTCTGATTTAAAAAAAATAGGTAGTATCGTATAAATGTTGTTTTCAACGTTAAGCGGTATTTTATATCTAAAAAGTAAGCAGTTTATGTCTTTATACATATGTGGCATTAGCATGGTCTTTTGACAACACTGTCATCACAGCTGCTACGTGATACAATTAAGCATTGTTTCAAATGACTCTGTCATATTTTAAATGGTCAGTGGCTATTAAGATTCAGTTAACAACCGCGTATGTAGTCCATTTGGATACTAATCCAATAATATCTTGTAGAACGTACAAGTATTTGGCTTACTTATTTGGAATACTCGTTCTAGTTCGATATCTTCATCTAGTTACTTACACGCACTCACAACCCATATTTCGACACTATTAACGACATTAACAACTTCCGATTGCACTCATTACATTTAAATTCATTAGTTTGTTGTCAGCACAGTAATATCAATTATAAATTCGGGACAGTGTAGTGACTAATGGTGAATGGTTCGATGTTTTGATCTAATTATTTTTTCTTTATGTACGTATGTATGCCGGTAAGGCAATCGATTTCAATAGACACTTTGATAACTGTCTATTGGAATCTATTCTAATTTCAATACAATTTCTTCACATCACGTGTTAAGTTAAGTGTAAGGTTAAATAGTGAACCTCCCCGGCCATTCGATCGCAATGCCCAAATTCGTTTATCACTCAATAGGTACCTATTACATTCTACTTACATTTCTTTCGACAGTGTTACTAAACCTCTCTACATTTTAATTGAACTGTCTGATACAGATCCACAGATTTTGCTGGAGCAATTCAAATTAATGTCACTTGTCTTAAGGATGTCTACAGTGTCAGGGGTATTCACACTGTTTTTGATATTTAACATATGTTGTTTATTGTCATATTGTTGTTGTACTATGACAATAAACAACATATGTTGGACATTTATGTAACTTTATACCTAGGTCACGTGTGTTTTTTATTTCGTTATCCATGCGTGTCATTTTATCCTTTAAATCTAAATTGATTTAAAACTCCCATTGACATTAATTTTGTAAATTATTAAAAACAAAAAATACGGTTATTATTAATACGGTTATTATTTTAATTAAGGAAGAATATGTAGAAATTTAAGACCCTTGAACTCCATTTAAAAAGATACTGAAGGTAAAAGTAAAGGTTAAAAAAATAAAAGGTTCGATTAATTACTTCCGGTTACTACAGATAAAAAGACGCATAAACTTACTAAGAATCGGCTTACAGTATTCGATTACTGAAAGGAAGGCGCTCATTTCACTAATAGTATAAATATTTCTAATCTGCTTGAAATTTATCAGATGGGCTTGAGCTTGATTAGCTTTTAGATCGATGGATGCCGGGCCGCGATAAAATCATTTTGTACAAGTTAATTGGAGGGCAGACATGCAACGACCGCTCGTCCAATGTCAGTGTGAACAATTGATTTAAATTTGGGTAATTTAGATAAAAGTTTATTTAAATCAAATTTTAATAATATAATAATAAGAAATAATATTTAAACGTAAAAAGCAAAGATCTTCTTGATAAGAACTCATTATAAATTTTATTAAAATCTTTTCTCAAATCGTTCCTCGGTTGGTTTTTTTTATTATAAGGTTGCCAAAGCTTTATAGGTGCTACTGGGTTACTATGTGCAAGGGATAATACAAGTGTTAAGTGTTTGTAAGTGCCGGTAACTTACTAATCTCCCACTGACCGGCTGAGGTATTGAACGTTATTTCAACAGAGTTTGTTGTATAAAATGACAACTTTATTAAACTCATCCAATTAAATCTAGTTACAAACGCACACATAACGGCAGTATAATATCTTTAAGTTTGACTCCAACGGCCACCACAAAAACCTTATTGATTTTTATATACTTATCGCAAGTAATAACAGTAAAATCGACTAAAGTATTGTTTCCGCCACAACGACCCACCACTAATGACCAAATGCACCTGGCTAGCGCGTGCCGACTAAAATGTCACACTTTACGTTACATAACCAATTAAACTTGACCCCTTTTTTTAGCCAACATTGTAAAGCTATGACATAAATTGTATTAATTAGCTTTCAAGCCAAGTTTTTTCTATAAGATTAAAATTCTTGGACATTATTACTAACGGTTTTAGATCTTTCCTTTGTTTAAATAGCCAAGTATGATTGGTTCACAGACAATAGGTACATCTGACAGATAAATGTAATATGTAGATGTACTATTTAGATATCAAATTACGTAGATAAAAACAAGCATAATCTATTTAGAAACCACTAGATATTGTTTGTAACACACACACACACATCTTTTTATACTTACATATAAATAGTTGCTGCTGCGCCAAAACAACATCACGTGTTGTGAATTAATACTTGAGATTGGCTAAGCGTAATACGTATTTGTATATGTTAATGTCTCATTGTGTAAAATCGAAAAAACATGCTCATTGATGTACCAAATTTACCTTAAGCATCATTTATCAATATTTTCTCAACTAATCTCACTCCATGGAACCTTAGTCATGAAAAAGTATAAAGCTCACGACCTCGTGTGAAACGAGCACACCAACTTCGCATTATATTTTTAAATTCAAACAATTATTTTGACACCGGCAGGCCTCGTGTGGGAAGATTTTATTCAATTCTAAAGACAGCATTGAATTTCATAACGCTGTGTGTTTAATTGAACAAAAAAATATTTTTATTACAAATTATTTAATTTGTCATAAAAATATTAAATTAGTAATTATTACTAATATTAATCCGTCACTACATGGACATTTATTTATTCTAAACTATTTACACTCCTATTAAATTCGTATATTTATTCTGCTAATCTATCTCTGCAATACGTCTTCCCACGTACTGTCATAATCCGTTGCTAATTCTAAAAGTTTAAGCTTATGAACTTGGAACAAAGCCTTTAAATTTCCTTTCGTTTTTCAAGGCCTAATGATCTATAAAAAGTATATATCCTAGGCGATGCAAGTGCAGTTACGTCATACATAATGTATGTACGTACCTACATGGCGCATATTTGTCCGGTACTTGTTGGAGTTTGTCCAACACGTATCAGTTTGATTACACAGATATTTGGTAAATGCTTTTCATGGTTTAGACAAATAACGATTTAGGAATTACTTGATAACTTTTCAAAAGTTTAGTTTTATTTTCCTAATATGTTCTTCTGATATTTTTTTCTTACCAGTTAACATGTTCTACATACAATTTTAATTTTAAATTTTGTCATCAAAACATGTTATTCTGCCCTAATTCTAAGTATACTAATTTTTTTTCAGCATGGTCAATTCAGTATATATTTCATATGAATGGGCTATTACCTGTCTGTTCCAGTGACCTAATATAGAAGGAAGTGGAGCGGAACAATATTGGATGCATTCCAGCAACTGAATCACACTCATTTACACCGAACCTTGAATTTAAATAGTACTTATAACTTAAAATTGTCTCTAAAATACCTTCTATTAAATAAAACGGTTGTGGGTCGCGGTAAATCAGGCCGAACGGTAAGGTTGCTTTTGCGTTACAGGGAATTACGGACCGTAAATAAGATTACGGGACTGAAATATGAATGCGACCATATACATTTTTTAAATTAGAAGAATTGGAGTATTTATAGGAGTTTTTATTTGGCTTCGTGGACATAAGTCTCACTTAAGAGATATAATGATATCGAAGTTTTTAAAAGATAAAAGTTATTCAGGCCCATTATATTTGAAATTCAATAATCTTATACACGCTTATAAACACTTCTCTTTGTAAAAAAAAAACATGACAGATTTAAATTACTACATCATTAGGTAAATTTAATTTATAAATCTATTTGTATACTTCTTATCCTCAGCTACTAAAGTACCAACCAACAAAGACAAATGGCTACAGTAGAAAAACTGACTGTTTGTGTGGGCCATACTATCGAAATTACTAAAGTTTGCGCACCCTACTCATAATAAATTCATTTAATGTCTGCTTACACGGCGAACCGCTTGTAACTCTCCTAAAGTTATAGACGGGAGAGTTAGCGAAAATAGGCAACATTTTTATGATTACGTGATAGTATTCAGGTATAGGCTTTTTACCTATAACGTTTGAAGTTTACGCTAGTTTTGACGTACAACAGAAACGAACTCAATTAGAA